GAAGCCCCCGTTCGAGGCATCCTCCAATTTTGCAAAACCAGCGTTTCGCTCGGGACACCATCAACAAATTTACAGGAAAAACAAAATAGAGAAACAAACAACACCAAAAACAAAAAAAAAAAAAAAAAAAAAACGTTCGCTCGAGATATCCTGCAAAATCAAAGGAAATCCTAAAAAAACATACAGACATCCTCGAAATTCCTGCGCGCGGGACGCGGCACGTGCGAGACATCCTCGGAAGACGTGAAAACAACCATTTCGCTTAAGACATCCTCTGAATTCTGGCCCCCCACGAAGCCCCCGCTCGAGACATCCCCCAATTTTGCAAAACCAGCGTTTCGCTCGAGACATCCTCAACAAATTGTGAGAAAAAAAACAGCGTTTCGCTCGATACACCCCGGCAAAATTCAAAGAAATCATTGAAAACTAAACGAATTAGTCGAGACATTCTCTAAATTCATGCGTGCGGGACGCGGCACGTGCGAGGCATCCTCTGAATTCCTGCGAGCGGGACGTGAAAACAAGCATTTCGCCTGAGACATCCTCTGAATTCTGGCCCCCCACGAGGCCCCCGCTCGAGACATCCCACAATTCTGCAAAACCAGCGTTTCGCTCGAGACATCCTGGCAAAATCCAAGAAAATCCTTTTACATGATGGACCCACGAACCCGGAAAGGGATATAGACATGTGCAGCATGGTCACGTTTTCACGATACCCAACTGGGCGACACCTCACGAAACATCCCACGAGACACCCCGCGAAACATCCCACGAGACACCTCACGAAACATTCCACAAGACACCTCACGAAACATTCCACGCGACACCCCGTGAAACATTCCACGAGACACCCCACGAACAGGCAACCACTCAACCAGACACCCCACGAAACATTCCACGGGGGTGCGACTGGGTGTGGTCGTGCTGGGGTGTGGTCGTGCTGGGGTGTGGTCGTGCTGGGGAGTGGTCTTGCTGGGGTGTGGTCGTGTTGGGGGGTGGTCGTGCTGGGGGGTGGTCGTGCCTGGGAGGTGGTCGTGCTCGGGGGTGGTCGTGCTGGGGCGTGGTCGTGCTGGGGCGTGGTCGTGCTGGCGTGGTCGTGCTGGGGTGTGGTCGTGCTGTGGTGAGGTCGTGCTGGGGTGTGGTCGTGCTGGGGTGTGGTCTTGCTGGGGTAGGGTCGTGCTGGGGTCGGGTCGTGCTGGGGTGTGGTCGTGCTGGGGTATGGTCGTGCTGGGGTGGGGTCGTGCTGGGGTGGGGTCGTGCTGGGGTCTGGTCGTGCTGGGGTGTGGTCGTGCTGGGGTGTGGTCGTGCTAGGGTGGGGTCGTGCTGGGGTGGGGTCGTGCTGGGGTGTGGTCGTGCTGGGGTGTGGTCGTGCTGGGGCGTGGTCGTGCTGGGGCGTGGTCGTGCTGGGGTGGGGTCGTGCTGGGGTGGGGTCGTGCTGGGGTGTGGTCGTGCTGGGGTGGTCCGCACCCTGTGATTTGTCGATCGGGTCGTGCTGGGGTGTGGTCGTGCTGGGGTGTGGTCGTGCTGGGGTGTGGTCGTGCTGGGGTGTGGTCGTGCTGGGGTGTGGTCGTGCTGGGGCGTGGTCGTGCTGCGGCGTGGTCGTGCTGGGGTGGGGTCGTGCTAGGGTGTGGTCGTGCTGAGGTGGCCCGCACCCTGTGATTTATCGATCGGGATGTCAAAAACAAGCGTTTCGCCTGAGACATCCTCAAATTTTAATCCGCCGGCCCACCTCGACCTCGATATTTATCTAGGAAAGAATCCGCCGGCCCACCTCAGTTGAGGCACCGGGGACAAGTTTACCTACTAAAAGAGAACCCTGGGCCTGCGCCCTTTCCGGGAAAAAACAAAAGAATTTGTCGAGACATCCTCGAAATTCCTGCGCGCGGGACGCGGCACGCGCGAGACATCCTGGAATTCCTGCGCGCGGGGCGCGTTTCCGCGTCGCGGTCGGGGCTCCAGACTTCGGTTTTTTTGTTCGAAGATTCTGCTAAAAGTGCCCCGCACACTCTTTTTTACGAAAGAAAACGGTGGTCCGATGGGGGGTCGACTTTCCTCGAGCGGGCACGCGCGAAACGCATTTTTTCAGGCCGAATTGGACTTTACTTCGTTTTTTATCGAGAATAATTCCGCCGGCCCCCTTCCGGGGGGAATAAACAAACTAAAAGAGAACCCTCGGCCTAAGCCTTTTTCCGGGAAAAAACAATACAGAGTACACTTGGCGGCGGCGGCGACTGCGGCGGCTGCGGCGGGGGCAGCGGCTGCGGCGGCTGCGGCGGTGGCGGCGGCGGTGGCGGCGGTGGCGGCGGTGGCGGCGGCGGCGGCGGCGGCGGCGGCGGCGGCGGGCGGGCGGCAAAGCGGCGCGCGGCTGCGGCTGCGGCGGCGGCCGTTCGCAGCGGGCTGGCGGCGGCGGCGGCGCTGGCGGCGGAGGCGGCAGCGGCGGCGGCGGGCGGCGCGGTGGCGTCGGCGCGGCGAACGGCGGCGGCGCGGCGGCGGCGCGGCGCGGCGCGGCGGCGGCGGCGCGGCGGCGCGCGGCGGCGGGCGGCGGCGGCGGCGGAGGCGGCGGCGGCGGCGGCGGCGGCGGCGGATTGGCCCCCATTGGCTGCCCATCCAAAGACGACTGCTCCATATGCTGCGGCTCGGGCCAGGCGCGGGTGCCACGTATGTCTTGGGCGGGCGGGTGGGAGTGAGTGAGACGGCTTGCGGGCGGGGAGGGCGTCTTGACCCCTCCCCCTACCTCTCCTGGACTTTTTTGGGGAAGTTCGCGAGGTGTCAGGGCGTCCAAAACGGCCTCGGCGAGGAAGCCAAAATCATTGGTTTTACTAAGGTTTTAGCACCATGTTGACCTCCTCAGGGGGGGGGGGCTGAACGTTATACCATTTCCTCCTTTGATCAATGGCCTTCAAGATGGCCCCAAGAAGCCTTCCAGGGCTCCCAAGGGGGCCCCAAGAGAGCCCCAAGAGGGCCCCCAGAGGGCTCCGAGACCCCTAAAAGAGCCCCAAGAGAGCTCCAATACCATCCTAAAGAGCCACAGGAGAGCTCCAAGAGACAATTTGAGGGCTCCTGGGAAGAGGCCGAAATCGAGGACCCACCATCTTTTGATCGATGCTCCCCTAGATGGCCCCATCAGGCCTTCCAGGGCACCAGCCGCAGCACCAGCAGAGGCAACAGCAACATCAGCAGCACCACCAGCAGCAGCAGCACCAGCTGATGGCTGAACATGATGGACCCACGAACCCGGAAAGGGATATAGACATGTGGAGCATGGACACGTTTTCACGATACCCAACTGGGCAACACCTCACGCACCATCCCACGAACACTATCACGAAACATTCCACGAGACACCTCACGAAACATTCCACGAGACACCCCGTGAAACATTCCACGAGACACCCCACGAACAGGCAACCACTCAACCAGAACCCCCACGAAACATTCCACGGGGGTGCGACTGGGTGTGGTCGTGCTGGGGTGTGGTCGTGCTGGGGTGTGGTCGTGCTGGGGTGTGGTCGTGCTGGGGTGTGGTCGTGCTGGGTGGTGGTCGTGCTGGGGGGTGGATGTGCTGGGGGGGTGGTCGTGCTGGGGGGTGGTCGTGCTGGGAGCGTGGTCGTTGCTGGGGCGTGTCGTGCTGGGTGTGGTCGTGCCTGTCGTGAGGTCGTGCGTGAGGGGGTTGTCGTGCTGGGGTGTGGTCTTGGTGGGGTGGGGTCGTGCTGGGGTGGGGTCCTCCTGGGTGTGTCGTGGCTGGGTGTAGTCGTGCTGGGGTGGGTCGTGCTGGGTGGGTCGTGCTGGGGTGTGGTCGTGCTGGGGTGGTCCACACCCTGTGATTTATCGATCGGGTCGTGCTGGGGTGTGGTCGTGCTGGTGCTGGGGTGTGGTCGTGCTGGGGTGTGGTCGTGCTGGGGTGTGGTCGTGCTGGGGTGTGGTCGTGCTGGGGTGTGGTCGTGCTGGGGGTGGTCGTGCTGGGCGTGGTCGTGCTGGGGTGTGGTCATGCTGGGGGTGTGGTCGTGCTGAGGTGTCCCGCACCCTGTGATTTATCGATCGGGATTTCAAAAACAAGCGTTTCGCCTGAGACATCCTCAAATTTTAATCCGCCGGCCTCCTTCGACCTCGATATTTATCAGGGAAAGAATCCGCCGGCCTCCTTCAAGTTGGGCACCGGGGACATGTTTACATACTAAAAGAGAACCCTGGGCCTGCGCCCTTTCCGGGAAAAACCCCACCAGCCCTTTGGGCGACAGGTGGTCTGAGGGATCATGAAAAAGACATAAAGCGGAAGCACTCGTCCTCCTCTTCCTCCTCCTCTTCCCCTCCTCTTCCCCTCCTCTTCCCCTCAACCCCACGCGGCCCCCAGGGATTGCCCGAAGAGGCATTCCAAGGCCACCCCCTTGCTCCCAGAGATCTCTCGGTTCATCCTGGTTGCTCGCTTTGTTTCCCTAGATGTGTCCCTTCGTCCCTTTTCCCGTCAGCTCTCGTGGGCAGGGCTTCTGAATGGGCTGGTGGGTTTTTTTGTCCGCGAGCGCGCAGGGGTGCAAGGCGCCGTCAAGAAACGCGGTTCTGGTGGGGATACGCGAAGCGTGAAGAATAAGTTATCAGCCAAGAAGGTCCACGAACACCCCTAGGAGAGCCCCAAGACGGCCACGAAACCCCCAAAAACTGCGCGTGACCGCCCCAAGGGGCCTCCAATACGGCCCCGAGAACCCGACCACACGGCCTCGAGATGGCCCGACCGAACATGTTCAAAAAGTCATCAGAACCATCGCACCCAACACGGGCCCAAAGCATCTAACAAGGTCCCTGGATGCCCTCGAAAAGCCCCGTGGGGTCCCTGGAAAAGCCCAACAAATCCCCTGAGAGGCTCGCAAGAAGCATCTACGAGCATTCCAACTCCAAGGCCACGCCAGGCTATAACAACGCGGCGTGTCTTCTCGAACATGGCTCTAACGGCCCTGTTCGAGGCAGCACGCTGCGCTGGCAGGATGTCTGAGTTTGCCGCAGGCAGCTGGATGTGAGAAGCTCCCTGCATCATTGCCGATGTCATCGCCTGGGCAGGATAATAAGTGAATGCAGACCAGCACATTTCGTTCTGCGTGAGCTCCCCGAACTCAGTAGGCTCCGTCCTCGAGGAAGTATCATACTTACATGTGAACGTTAGTTCGTCCCCTCTAGAAATCGTCTTCAGCAAGCTCGGCTCAAGGCTCTGGTGGTTGAAGTCGTACCTCTTTTCGCTGCGGAGCATTCCACGGTAGCTTCCGTCCACGCTGCTGGTGACATCAATGTTGAAACTCTTGCCAACAAGATGGCCATGGTAAACCACACCCAACACGTTGATACTCGGTACGTCCCAAGCGTTCGTGCACTCTTTTGGAACCACAGTGGCGCTCAGAGCGATATCGTCCTGGCCAGCTGGCAGTGGATCGCGGTGCGAATGGTGGGTGCCCCCGTTGAGGTCGAAGACTGCAGCGTCGTTGGTGCGAAGGGCGTCGCTAAAAATCAGCATGACGCCGCTGCTGTCCTTGACGCCTGCGTCCAATTGTGGATTGTAGTAGTGCACCTGCAGTGCCAGCCAGCGCAAATTCTCACCAAACGGCATGCCCACATCTTCAGGAAATACAACGTCTTCACTCCCAACAGCCCAGGGCCATTTCATTGCGCCGCAACCTTTCGGCATGCTCTCGCATTCACCGATTACCTGATTGTGCGACAAAGATACACCGTATGAGGCAGCGTTTTCACATCCATACAGGATAATGTGATGGACATACTGCTCGCTGCTCGCGGACAACTTCGGCGCGAACTTAACAACATGGTGCTTATCGGTGACATTCCTGTTGGCAGGCAGAACTTGTGCGAGGTCGAATATACCGCATACGTACGGGTTCGTAGGATCAGTGCCTCCCTCCCCGAGCACCACGTCGACATCTGGCATCAACAGGTCAACCTCGTCCAGGCCGCTCAGATCCGGAAGCGTCGGAGGCCCCGACAGTAAGTTGGCATGAAACTGGCCACGCTGACTGCCGTGGTATGCGAAGCTGTGGGAACTGCCCAGTGCCCAGTGCATCCAGCGGGTCACGTCCTCCACGGGGTACCTGTCTCCGGCACCGCAGGAGGTCCGAGGCAGCAGCAGCCCCCACGCAGTCCCGCCGTTCTCCTCGCCGGCGAAGATCAAGGTCAGGTCCTGCGTCTCCTGACGAACCAACAACACACACCCATACCCATAGAGGGGTCGGAGAGGGCTATGGGTGCGTGTTGTCGGATGGGGGTCCCCGCTCGAACGGGAGCTTCCCCAGGGTCCGACAACCCGCACCCATACCCATAGCCAGTCCTCTCCCCAACGACTCCCCTATGGGTATGGGTGTGTGTTGCTCGTTCGTCATCTCCTGCAGTAGTGGAAGTGCGTAGTCTGTGGAGTAACGTTCCTCGGCTACCCAAGCGCCGCCCTCTTGCCGCACCACAAACTGTTGGGCTCCCTTCATGCCACCGTTGCCAGCGAACGCCAGCGCACTCCAACCACTGTGCCCTTCAGCGTAAAGCCCGAGCTTCACAAAGTTCGCATCAGCGCTTGGCCCGTAATCCGCAACCATGCGTGAAGGGAGAAAAAACTGCATGAACACAAACGTTTGGCGCTCCGCGCGAATTTTCTGGATCCGCGCTGGACTCCCCTCCCTGGCACGCGGAGCGCGCCAGAGGCGGCGCCAGAGGCGCCGCCAGGGGGCCCAGCGCGGATCCAAGAAATCCGCGCGGAGTGCCACAAGTTTATATGCATGCCGTTTTTTCGAATGCTCGCCGCTGGCACGTTGAGGCGTGATACAGTGTCAAGAGCTCTGGTCGGGCCTTCCACTGCACTCTAGGTGCGCTCCGCTGCACGCACCGCCCGGTCAATCGAGGGCTCCTGGGCGCCCCGAGGTCTCTCCAGCGCTCTCCGAGGCATCCAAGATGGCTTCTAAGACGGCCCAGGGAAGCCACCCAGGCCGCCAACGAGGCCGAAGATGCCTCAGAGACGACCCCAGACAGCCCTGAGATGGCCCAAAATGGGCCTGAGACGGCCCCAGAGGCCACGAACCAAGACGGCCCAAGAGGGCTCCGAGATGGCCTCAAGGAGGGCCCGAACATGATCGACCCACGAACCCGGAAAGGAATATAGAAATGTAACGCATGCCAACGTTTTCAAAGACACCTGATTGGGTGACGGGCAAGTGCAATGCTGATTGTATCGATCTTGATGTACCGTGCCGAGGGCTGTGCTGTGCTGCACCGTGCTGAATTGCGATGTACCATGCCGCGGTTGTGCTCTATAGCGTCGTGGATCGAGTCTTCCTTTGCATCCGAGTCCTGACCGAACTGATCTGGATCTTAAGCTCGAGCTGCCTGAACACGTGGTAGCTGCCCCAGAGCTAATTGACAGGGGGACATGCCAGGAGGACGCGCCGCGAAACGTCCCAAGGGACGCGCCAGGCGACGTGCCAAGGGACGTGCCATGGGGTCGCACCGTAGGACGTGCCAAAGGGACGCGCTACGGGACATCCTCAAAATTCCTGCGCGCGGGACGCGGCACGCGCGAGACATCCTTGGAATCCCTGCGAGCGGGACACGAAAACAAGCATTTCGCCTGAGACATCCTCTGAATTCTGGCCCCCCACGAAGCCCCCGCTCGAGACATCCCCAAATTTTGCAAAACCAGCGTTTCGCTCGAGACATCCTCAACAAATTATGAAAAACAAGCGTTTCGCTCGAGACATCCTGCCAAACTTACAAGTGGCACGCGTGCCCTGGCTCTTGCACAAAGGCGTCCGAGGCTCAGGGGGGCTGCCCTGGGAAGCCTGGGGGCGGGGGAGAGGGGGGAGGCAGAGGGGGGGGGGCAAGGGGACGAACGACACGACACGACACGACACGAAAACAAGTGGCACGCGTGCCCTGGCTCTTGCACAAAGGTGTCCGAGGCTCAGGGGGGCTGCCCTGGGAAGCCTGGGCGGGGGGGGCAGAGGGGGGGGGGCAGGGGGACGAACGACACGACACGACACGAAAATAAAGGTGTCCGAGGCCCAGGGGGGCTGCCCTGGGGAGCCTGGGCGGGGGGGGCAGGGGGGGGGCAGGGGGGGACGGGGGGGGCGGGCAGGGGGGGGGGCAGGGGGGGGGGCAGGGGGGTCCTCCTCCCCTCTCTCCCTCCCAAACGAACGACAACGACACGCCACGACACGAAAAATAAAGGTGTCGAGGCCAGGGCGCGCTGCACTGGGAAAGCCCTGAAGGAGGGGTGCGGCAGGGGGAGGGGGGGCAGGGGCACGGTGGCAGGGAGGGACGAACGACACGGACACGACACGACACGAAAAATAAAGGTGTCCGAACGAGAGCCAGGGGGGGACTGCCCGGGAAGCCTGGAGGATGGGGGGGGCAGGGGGGAGGCCCAGGGGAGGGCTGCACATGTATGCCTGGAGGAGGGGGGGGAGGGGAGGGGGGGGGGGCAGGGGGGGGCAGGGGGACGAACGACACGACACGACACGACACGAAAATAAAGGCGTCCGAGGCCCAGGGGGGGGGCTGCCCTGGGAAGCCTGGAGGAGGGGGGGCAGGGGGACGAACGACACGACACGACACGACACGAAAATCCGCCGACCCCTTGGGGTCATCGGCGTGTGAGATGCTTCCCCCCTCCCCAAACCCCTCCCCCCGGAGCCTGGTCCGGTCGTTTTGGAGGGGGGGGGGGGGTCCAGCCGGATTCCCCGGGATCCGCCGGCGCGGTCCGGGGGGGGTCATCCGCTCCAGAGAGTCTGCTGGGGGGGCCGCAAACGAGCGAAGAGGCTCCCAAGAAGCTCTGCAGACGGTCCAAGCGGGCCCCGAGTCGCCGAAAAAACACTCGAAGACGGTCAAGATGGCCTCCAGATGGCCCCAGATGCCTCCAAGACGCCCCAAGAAGCTTCCAAGACGCCTCCCAAGATGGCCCCAAGAGGCCAAAATCGTCGATTTCCATTGGTTTTTTCAACGTTTTTGGCCTTCGCGTTTTTTTCGGGCTTCCGACGCTCCAAGACGGCGAAAGAAGCCCCCAAGACGGCATCAAGACGACCCGAGAGGCTCCCAAGTGGGCCCCAACACGGCCCAAGAGCGCCTCAAAACGGCTCAAGAGGGCCTTCAGACAGTCCAAGAGGGCCCACAGAGGGGCCCAAGAAAGGCTCCAGACGTGGACCACGAACCTAAAATTCTAGCCTTCCGCCCCAAAAGGCGCCAAGGAGGCCCCAAGAGGCCTCCAAGAGGCTCCAAGAAGCCCCCAAGAGGCCCCCAACAAGCCCAAAAAAAGCCCCAAGCTGCCCCAAAACAGCTCCCCAGAAGCCTCCAAACTGCCTCCCGCAGGCCCCCGAGATGATTCTCACGACGACGGCGCCAGAGGCTCCCACAACGGTCAACGAAGCCCCCAAGATGGCCCCAAAAAGGTGCCCAGCCTACGCCGTCGAGTCTGTCGCCGCCATTGTCGTCCTCGTAGTGTTCTCCTGCTCCTTCTCATCCTCCTCTTCCGCCCCCTCCTCCCGTCTCCCCTCTCAGCTTTCTGTCTCGTATTCCCTCCACTGGCTCACTTTTCACCTTCTCCGCCTTTGGCTGCTCCCCCATCCTCCCTCCTCCACGTCCCCCTTAGCCATCCCGTCCCCAGCGGTCAGATTCCTCGCAACTTCCGTGCCTTGTCGCAATGCTCGTCACTTGGTTCCGCCGGGCGTTTCGGAGGGTCTCTCCGCGGCGCTCGTCCCGTGCATGTCTTGCATTTCAGGGTGCCCTTCTTTGCGTCGCAGTGTGAACGCGACGTCGTCCCGCATTGCCGTCCAGGGCCCAGAGGCTCCCAAGACGTCCCCAAAAGGGCGCCAAGACGACCCACGAGGCGCCCAAGTCCATGGGCTCGCTCCGGAGCTCCAAAACGACCCCTGAGACCTCCCAAGAAGGCCCACAGGCAATCCAAGAGGACCCCGACGCGCCTGAGAAAGGAAGAAGAACCAAAAAAAAAAATGATCGACCAAGATGACATCCAGACCACTCATGAACCCCTCCGGCCGCCTCACAGAGCCTCCAACAGAGCCCCTCCCAAAACCGGCGATCGCCCCAGAAAAAAAAACAAGGGGTCGGCGGATGTGGCGTAAGCTTGAAGAATAAAGATGTCCGAGCTCTAGAGCACAGCTGTGCAAGAGAATAAAAGTGGCCCAGGGGGGCTACCCTGGGAAGCGTGGACAGGGGGGGG